CCATTGTCTCTAGCATAAAACATTGCTGTTAAAGTTTGGCAACTCTGATTTTCTTTCTTTTACAAATGACTTGTCATTTTGGCTGGAAATAATTTTACTAGATTATTTATTGGGGAGGTCATTATGGATTGATTTCCCCAGGTATGTGATGTGTTTTTTAAATATATAATATAAAGGGATTTTTCTATTTCTTTGCTTTCCCCTCTTTGCCAACTTTGTAACTTGGGAACACCTTCTATACATGTTTTAGCTCTCCTTCACCAACGTTTTGTATTTGTTACTTTCTTCTAGTCTTTCACATCTCCTTTTTCATTTCTTTTTGACTTTGAAAAAATTTCCCCCTTTCATTTCCTGCTTCTTATCTTTATTATCTGTAGTATTTATTCAGTTGTGTGCCTTCTAGTGTATCCTTCATTCTGAGAAGTTTTTCTTCTGTCTGTAATTCCTGAGTTCTGTCTGTTTATTTCTGAGTTTTTCTAAATCCAGTTTGCTTTCTTAATAATTTTTTTTAACTTGTCTTGAGATTTTAAGTTAGGGTTTTCATGTTTTATGGCGATCTCTAACATGATTCTATTGTCTGTAGAGATGTTATTGTGCTTATTCTCTTTTTTCTTATCATAACTTTGGACAGGATTCAACCTTGGTCCTTTTCTATTACTTGTTTTTATGTTAACTCATTTCCCCAAATGTTTAGCAGAGGAATGGGTTCAAAATAGCTTTTCTGATAGTGTTTTTTTTTTTTTTAAGAACTCAAAGTATTATTTATAAACAGTGCATTCATTTTTAAGTGTACAGTTTGAATTGTGGTAGTTTTACACAGTTTTGTAACCACCGTCACAGTCAAGATGTGGAACACTACTTTTACCCTAAAACTTTCTCATGTGCTTCTGCAGTTGGTCCCCTCCCTTCACATCTGGCCCTAGGCAATTATTAGTTTTCCACCAGTATATTTTACCTTTTACAGAATTTCATATACAGGGTATCTTACAGTATATATTAAGATTTAGTAAGATTTTTTGGCTTGATTTCTTTCACAAAATATGTTTTTTAGATTCATTCATTTTGCTTCATATTGTCAAGTGCTTGAAAAATGTGACAGCTCGTTTTTTCCTGGCTCTGTTCTGTAGTACTTTTATCTTTTTAACAATTACCCTGATATCCCTTTTCTCCTCGTTTTAGGTTCTGATCATAGGAGTTTTTTCTCAGTGTAAGATTTGTCCTAAAAAACTGCTTTACATCATTGGTTTTGTGATTTCATAGGGCAGAGAGTTCTCAAGCCCTTTCAGGCCTTACTGTGGACTCCTGGTAGTCACTAATATGTAGTGTACAACCTGCACTCCCAATTTCAGCTCCTCAATATATCTTACCACACTTTCTGGGGAGTACCTGATTGCTATTTTGTATTGTTCCTGTTTTCTGATTGTTAGAGTCCTGTTGCTTCTGTCTGCTTCTTCTCACATGGATGCTAATAGCATGTGTATCTTATTATCTGTTCATCCCACCTGCTTGCATTTTGGGATTCTAAAGAATATCTTGAAATGCAGTGATAGTGTAGTACATTTTATCTGCAGGTTTTAGTTTGGTTATTAAATTCTCTGTATTTATGGAGGGATCTAGGGAGACCGAAAAACTATGCTTGAATCTAACAAAAAGCATCAATTATTTCAATAAAATATTATATCAAGGAAATAGCAAAAAATTACAAATATATGTTACATGATATGTTATATGATAAAATGATACATTTATTTCTACTTTTCATAATATTGAGGGAGGGAATGTGCTTCTTGTGTGATGAGGTGTAGCCATTTGTGTTTCTGTATTTTCTGTATCTTTTACATATGTCTACCACATTGTCTTAGATTGTAAATAAGAGTCGAAACATGATTGATGTGTGGCATATACTATGAGAATTTAACTTTTTTTAATGAAGTAAAAGCAAATATATAAACTATAGATTTTCTGTCACAAATCTTTCTTTCTGAATTTTAACCTAGTTGTTAAGCAAAAGAGATAATAAAGTTTCTGTTGTTTATTTATTACAAGTCATTGTAATTGAAGTTTTAAATCAACTCATATAATCCCCTTGTTTAGGAAGGAAAATCATAAGAATAGAAAAAGCTTGCTTTATTTTGGTGCTGGGGATGGTTTCTTTAGTTTTATGTAGAGACCAAGAAAGTGTTCTGCCTAGGAGCCAAAGAAAAAACTACTGGGAAACTTTCTAAATTATCTTAACGCAGTTGTTTATAGTATAGCTTTACTCTACAGACAACTTTTTATGTTCTTAGATCATTAGATATACCTACATCACTATACGTAAGATAAGCTTCAACAATAAACACTCTTTGCTTTGGGAATACTCTTTGTAAATACTCTTTTCTATCATCTACTAGTTTGCATTATAGCACCAATCTTTTATTTGTACAGGTCAGTGGTTCTTTAGCTTTAATGTGCAGTAGAGTCCCCTGATGCTGGGCCCCACCTAACATCTGTTTCTGTTTCAGATGAAGACAAGAGAGAGGTATGTGTACCCAACTAAGAGTAAGCGCAACCAAAGCAATATAAAACCTTCATGAAGAAAAGTATAGAACATTGCTGTTGGATATAAAAGACATGAATAGAGGAATATACCAGCTTTGATAATGTGATATCTCTATTTCAGATGTTATTTCTCTCCAAATTAATTCATTACATATCAAATCAAAATACTAATAAGGGCCAGGTATAATGGCTCATGCCTATAATTCCGCACTTTGGGAGGCTGAAGTGGGCAGATCGCTTGAGTCCAGGAGTTTGAAACTAGCCTGGCAACATGGCAAAACCCTGTATCTACTAAAAACACACAAAAATCAGCTGGGCGTGGTAGTGCATACCTGTAGTCCTAGCTGCTTGGAGCTGATGGGGGAGGATTGCTTCAGTCTGAGCGGTTGACGATACTGCAGTGAGCGCTGATCGAACCACTACCACTGCACTCCAGCCTGGGCAACAGAGTGAAACTGTGTCTTAAAAAATCCTAGTAAGTTTCTTGTGAAGACAGAAGATAAGTGAACCTAAAATTTACGAAGAAAATCAAAGGGCCAAAAGTAGCCAAGACAATCTTGAAGAGCAGAGTAGGGGCCCTGCTACCTTAGATATAGATGCCCAGCCCTGGAAATTAAGAGACGGTGGTCCTGATATAAAGATAGACAAAAAGATCAGTGGAACAGTATGGAGAAGCCAAAAACGTATATAGAAATACAATATGCAGTGGAAGTAACATTATAAATCAGCAGGGACAAGAAAATGCTCTCTAAATGCTGCTTCAGTCATTAATTATATGGAAAATGAACTTGTATTTATAACTTCACACTGTCCACAAAGATAAGTTCTGGTCAATAAATTCAGAAAGCAGATGTTAAGTTTATTAGAAACTATAAGAAATAATAGAATACTTAACTGTGGTTAAAATTTTAAAAACACCTGTATCTTCACATATAAATCTTAGAAATAGTGTAACATTGAGTATGGAGTCAATTTGTATGGTTATAATAAAGTACCCCTCATACAAAATGAAAAGCATGAAATGATACAGATTTTTATAAAAAATGAAAACATACATGGTAATATATATCACATTCAAGATAGTGTTTGCTTCTTTTCTTTTATTAATTTTTTTTTTTATTTGAGACAGGGTTTCACTCTTGCCCAGGCTAGAGTGCAGTGGTGTGATCACAGCTCACTGCAGCCTTGACCCCCACAGGCTTAAGTGATCCTCCCACCTCAGCCTTCCAAGTAGCTGGGACTACAGGCATTTGCTACCATGCCTGGCTAATTTTTGTATTTTTTGTAGAGAAAGCCATGTTGTCCAGGCTGTTCTTAAGCTTCTGAGCTCAAGCAATCCTCCTGCCTCAGCCTCTTAAAGTACTGAGATTACAGGTGTTGACCCACCATGCCCAGCCAGCGTTTCCTTCTGGAAATCCTAGAGGAATGTGATTAGGGAGGGCTATGTGCAGCTACAACTGTAACTAAAGTTTTATATTTTTAAATAAAAATGTTTTAAAGCAACGTGACAAAACATTAACACCAAGTGAGTATCAAACAACAAAGAAATAGTTGGAGAAATTGTGGCACCTATATACTATGAAATATTTTTCAGCCATTAAGAATGAGTTGTAACTAGGTCACTTTTGTGGGAGGGCTTTCAAGAGTTATTAAGTGAAGACGACAAGATACAGAAAAATGTTTATAAAATCATCTCATTTTTATAATGTCATGTGATAATATATAATGAGCATATATTATATATGCTTGTGTATGGCCAAAATATGAACATGAAAAAATATGGAAAGATTCATTCTAGGCTGTTAGCATGAGAGACAGCAGTCGTGGGAGTGAGGTGATAAGGTAAGAAGAGAAGGAGGAAGGAATAGGGAGTCAAGAAAAATAGAAAAAGAAAAAGAAAATGCGCTACCAGCATGCTTGATAGGATTTTGTTTATGTACTTAGGCAAATTTTTATACATATTTTTATAAGGACTGTAGGATCACTTTAAGGGGTGAGAGTTGACCTAATTTGTTATATTTGATTGGAAGCTGTGACAGAAACAGATTTAGCAGAAAGTCTCTCAAAGATATAATTTTTCAGTGCTGTATTCTGTTCCTGGAGCATTTAAACAAGTAACATAATCAAATCAAAATGATGCTTTTCAGTTTTTCTCCCTTCATATTTAGTAACATAATGGACCCTAATTTCAGTGAGTTTTTCTTTTTAAATAATGATAGATATAAAGTACACACAATGTGCTAAATGATATAAAATAGCAGTTAATAAAAGGTAATTGTTTTAATATTTTATGAAATGGAGCTTTTTGGCAGAGAAACTTTAGCCATTTCTCTCTCTTCAACTTGGGAAAGAATGAGGAATAAATCTTTATCTTTTTTGTTTTCTTTTTCTGTCCAAGACCTAAATATCAGTATTTCATGATGATAAATGATCTCTGAAATTTTCCTTTTTTCTTTCAGTGTGCGAGATGACAGAATTCGAGTTGAAAGGATGGATAACACTTATTTTGAATACAGTCATGCTTTCCAGGCAGTTACAGAGTTTTATGCAAAAGATACAGTTGACTTCAAAGGTAAATATTTTTCCTGTATATCCTCAAGTTGAACTGATTTGAAATTTGGATAAAAGTATGAGTATGATTCTCAATTTATTTATTTATTTATTTATTTATTTATTTTTGAGACGGAGTTTCACTCATGTTACCCAGGCTGGAGTGCAATGGCGCGATCTCGGCTCACCGTAACCTCTGCCTCCTGGGTTCAGGCAATTCTCCTACCTCAGCCTCCTGAGTAGCTGGGATTACAGGCTTGAGCCACCGCGCCCGGCCCATGATTCTCAATTTAATGATGACTAGGTAGTTACCATAAATATGTGGGAGAAGAAGAGCTCGCTGTTGTTGTGCTCATCAGAAACACCATTGCACTGCAGTCCCAGCTACTGGCTAGGCTGAGGCAGGGGAGGATCACCTGAGCTCAGGAGTTCGAGGCTGCAGTGAGTTATTTTCACACCATTGCAGTCCAGCCTGGGCAACAAAGTGAGACCCTGTCTCTTAAAAAACAAAAAGAACCATTGTGGCTTCTTTTTAAAATTATGACCACCTAGTAACTTGATGGTTTTGTTATATTCATTAGAGTGGAAGGAGTTTTTCACCATCTTTCCTTTTTGCTCGTTAGTATCTTTGTATTTTATAGACTGTATGATAAATATTCTGATGAAGCCTGGCATTTGGAAAGGTTGGTTGCCAAAATTAAAACACCAGAATGTTAGTGACAGGGTCAAAATACGTTAGATAATCATTATTTGCCTAATTCACATGTCCACAGTCAGGCATTCATTAATGCTTTCTTTCATTTGTACCTCACATTCCTGCCAGTTCAGCTTTTGTTAGGGTTCATTTGGTGGATGGTGAGGTGAATAGACATTTTCCCTCTTGTCATAAGCTTAACTTCACTCTAATCTTCATCAGAACCCATATGGAGAAAATTTATCCCTGTCACATGTTAGAGAGCATTCATGATCAGCGCTCTGTCACTGCTCATTTAAGAATCAATGTCTGGTTAGCATTTCCTTGTTTCTAGGCATCAGTGTCTTGTTAGCATGTCTGTTTTAATTTCATGATGCCTTGGTCAAATCGAATCAAGTGTCTGAGAGTGTATCCCATTTCTTTCTTTTTTTAAAAAAAGAATGAAGGAAAGAAGAAAGAGGAAGAGGAAGAGAGAACAGGGGTGTTGCTTTATTGCCCGGGCTAGAATGCAGTCTAAAAATGGGTATGCCTGTAATTGTGTTTAATAATAGAGACATTAAAAAAAAAAAAGAGGGAAGAAAATAATAAGCAGCCAACCAATATTTCATTTAAACCTGTAAATAGGTGTGATGTAGTACTGATAAGAGTGTATATTTTGTGTATTTAAAGTGGAGAGTTCTGTAAATGTTAATTAAGTCTACTTGTTCTGGATCTGAGTTCAAGTCCTGAATATCGATGTTAACTTTCTGTCTCATTGATCTGTCTAATATTGATGTTGAAGTCTCCCACTATTATTGTGTGGGAGTCCAAGTCTCTTTATAAGTCTTATATATCTGGGTATTCCTGTATTGGGTGCGTATGTATTTAGGATCTTTAGCTCTTCTTGTTATATTGATCCTTTTATCATTATGTAATATCCTTCTTTGCTTCTTTTGATCTTTGTTGCTTTAAAGTCTATTTTATCAGCAAAAATTACAACTCCTACTTTCTGTTTATTTATGTTTGCTCTCCATTTGGTTGGTAAATTTTTCTCCATCCCTTTGAGTCTTTGTGTATCCTTGCATGTGAGATAGATCTGGATGTAGCATACCAATGGGTCTTGGCTTTTTTTGCCTGTCTGTGTCTGTGGATTGGGGGATTTAGTCGATTTAAATTTAGAATTAATAACAATATATGTGAGTTTGATACTGTAATTTAATGTTAGCTGGCTGTTTTGCCCATTAGTTGATGCAATTTCTTAATTATGTTGATGTTCTTTATTTTTTGGTATTTTTCAGAAAGGCTGATACTGGTTGTTCCTTTCTATTTGTAGTGGTTCTTTCAGAAGCTCTTGTAAAGCAGGCCTGGTGGTGATGAAATCTGAGTGCTTGCTTGTTCACAAAAGATTTTATTTTTCCTTCGCTTAT